CTCAGGATTGCGGAGTTCCTGGCCAGTGAACTCCACAGGGAAGAGGCACGGAGGTGGCGAAAGCTGGGGTATCCGTGGGCCGATAACGGAGGAATAGCGCCCCCCAGGGCGACTGGATCACAGGATTTAGTGTTACAGCTCAAGACAAGTGACTCAGCTCAGATCTCAGTGATTCAGCTCCAGCTCCAGCTCCAACTTTATTGGGGTAAAACTAGGACTATTTATAGTGTAGAGACAGAAGAAGCCTTAGCTGATAGGTACTTTTAGGATGCCTCATTTACATAGGGCGGTGGGCTTCTATCAGGCTATCAGACAATGCCTGATTAAAAACCTGGTAGCTCCTGTGCCGGAGGGCATGTATTTGTGGCGAGCACTTTAAAAGAAGAGTCAGGGAGGATGCCAGGAAGGCACTCTGCTATGAAAGGAATCTGCAGCACATGGTTTTCTGAGCTCGTGAGCTATCCGGACGTGAAGAGACTTCTACTTGCATAACAGAGAACCCCAACAGAAAGTGACTTGTCTGCCGGATAGTCCTCTCAAGCTAAGACTCACAGCTGTTCCCTGAGTTTTTTTCTTCCTTCTCTGTTTCTCCCTTCTTCCCATTTGCCTTCCAGGACATCAAGAATCCCCCCACTGGGTTCAAAACCTCACCTGGGTCCTCACCAATATCGTCACCAGAGCCATGGCCAATACCACCTTCCACCTGGCTCTACCTGGTACTTGGTATCCTGACCTGACATTTGACCTCTGTGATATCCTGGATGGAACCTGGGGAGCCACAAAAGAGCCTGATTGGTTTGAGCCCAAGATGTACCACCCTGGTAATGCTCCCTGCTGATGCACCTGGCCGGCCACCCGGAATAAGCTCCTATTGCGGCAATGGTATGTCTGTCCTGGGGACTCCGCCTCAAAGCGACAGCCAGGCTGTGGAAGAACAGAACACTTCTTTTGCTACTCCTGGTCCTGCATCTCAATGGGTGATATTAATTGGAAGGCCCCTGTTGGGGATGACCTCATCACAGTAACTTGGATATCTGGAAGCTGCTCCTCAGGCTGAACAGCATCTGGGCCCATGTTCCAGGGACCATGCTCCAACAAGTGCAACCCCCGTATCTTGAAATTCACCTCTTGAGGTAGGGATCCCAGTGTCCTGCCCTTATGGTACTGCGGGCACACTTGGGGCCTTCAACTCTATGTATCGGGCCACCCTGGAGTCCTGGTTACTGTACGCCTCCTGGCTAGGCAAAACCTTTAACCCCTGTAGGCCCTAAACCCATACTGCCAGTCCCCCAGACTGTTGCAATTCGGGCCCCTGCTTCTAGCATATCCCAGTCTACCAGAAGTGTCATCGCCACCCCAAACCAGTCAATCACCCATCTCCTACTCCAACTCAGCTGACGACAACACAGAGTCCACTAGCTCTCATAGATGCAGCCTTCCTAGCTCTCAATGCTACCAACATTAATCTTACCAAAAGCTGTTGGCCTCTATCTGGACCCAAGGCCCCCATATTATGACGGCATAGCAGTCTGCGGAAACTATTCCCTGACTGCTGATGCCTCCGCCTATAGAATGGGTCCTCCTACTGGTAGACGAGGGCTCGCTCTCACTCTGGCTCACTCTCTGGTATCTGGACAAGGACTCTGCATCATACCCAGGGGAGGGTTGGTCCCCTCTTTTTACCAACATCTCTGTAACTCCACCACCCAACTCTGTCTAAACGAATGTGTTCCTTATGTGTCCCCCCAGAACTCCGCTTTGTGGGCATGTTCTACTGGGCTTACCACTTGCCTTCATTCCACTGTCCTCAATCATACAGGAGATTTTTGCATCTTGTTACAATTGGTCCCCCACCTCTATTATAGATCTGACATAGAAGTCGAGGCCCACTCTAACCCCCTTTTTAGGTCTCGGAGAGCCCTAGGAACCACAGTGGTGGTGCTCTCCACCCTGTTAAGAGTTGGGGTTATCACTAACACAGGCATGGGAACATCTGCATTAATCTTACAAGACTAAAACTACCAGGTCTTCTGAGTTGCTACAGACTCACACCTTCAGGCCCTGGAAAATTCGGTTAAACACCTGGAGGAGTCCCTCTCCTCCCTAGCTGAAGTGGCCCTGCAAAACCAGAGAGGCCTAGACCTGCTTCTAGAGAAAGACGGCCTATGCACTGCCCTGGGAGAACAATGTTGTTTTCATGTCAATCATTTGAGGGTAATTAGAGAATCTTTAGCTGCATTGTGTGAAAGACTCCAAGAAAGGGAAAATGACAGACTCCAACAGCAAAACTGGTATGAGTCCTTATTCTCCTGGTCCCCCTGGTTGACTATCCTTATCACAGCCCTAGCAGGACCCCTACTCTTCCTAATGATGGCCCTCACCTGTGGTCCATGTCACCTCAGTGCCCTCCTTAGATTTATAAGGACCTGCCTACAGACTATCCAAATAACGGTCCTCTGCATCCAATTTGATCAGGTTGCTCAGGAGGACCCTTTGTCTCAAATGACTGCTTGCTAACCGCTACCTATTTAGCTTCTGAACAGATGCTTGCTTGCTGTGGCTTAAAGATTTATCCCAAGTTACAACTCAAGGGGGAAATGAAGGAACCAGGGTGACTCCATTTTGTACAAGCCATGTCAGCTACAATAAGTTTCTGTTTCCTGGAACCATAAGTTATCATTTACTGGAAATTGGCTGTTAAGATTAGATCAGCAGGAAAGTCCCCAAACCCAGGCCCACCAATCAGGGAGATAACAGTCAGAGTCTCTGAAACACATTAACCCAGAGAAATTTGGCCAATGAAATACAGTCCCGTGGTCTGACCACGGGAACTAAGCAATGAGAATAAAGGTCATGGTTTTTGTGGTTTTTCCCTATAAAAATGCTTGTTAACTGCAAAACAGAGCTCAACTCTGCAATCGGCATGAGAGTCGCAGCCCCGGCTAGCTGGAATAACTAATTTTTTTCTTAAACTTTTCCAAGTTTGTTACTGTCTGTCTCCAGTTATTCCCAACTCCTGGACCCAACACTGGCCTTTTCAAAACCCAATTTGTCATTGGTAATGGGCCAGACACTGGATGGTGGGGAGGGGCGAGGTATTTATTTAATTAGGTCTTGTCACCCTTGGTCTTTTCCTGAAGGAAATGCTTTGATGAGCTGACTTTCTACAAACCATCCTTAACTCCAGTTCCAGGGGAATCCGAAGCCTTCTGACCTCTGCAGCATTGCACAAGACAGGTGCACTCATATACATGCAGGCAATACACTCATACACATAAAAATAAAAATAATAAAATATTTTTAAAAAGAAATTGATAATTATGGCATGAGAGTGAGATTAGATAGGTGGATCTCTGTGAGTTCAAGGCCAGCCTGGTCTACATAGTGAGTTCCAGGACAGCTGGGGCTACAGGAGACCCTGTTTCAAAAAGACAAAAAAAAAACCCCAACAACAACAACAACAAAAACTAAGGCCTAGAAAGTGAGGCTAGTGGAACTGGAATTTGAGGTATTTCTTGTTACTGCCTCTAAACTTTTCATTTTGTAAGCAGCAAGGGTTTTCCTTTCCTCCTTTGATCTTTTTATGTCAGATTTGGGAAGGAGGAGACATATTATTGGGCTTATAGCACTCAGTTTATCTCTGTATACTCAAATTCAGTAAAATTTTAGTTGATCTGGAAAATAGTTTATTTTTCAAGATGTAATACATACCTTCAGAGAGTACAAAAAGCCCCATTTTGGAAAATGTATTGCCAGCCAGTAGAGAGGCAACCATCTTAACAGTTGAAATAGCTCTTTTAAATACCAAATCGAATAGTAAGTAGTTCTTTTACTGACTATGTAAGTCAGTGACATGCACTCTTGGTAGGCTTTATTAAATAAATGAACCAGGCCAGTAATTATTCCATTTGTTACAGAAGTATGTCTAGAACCTTGATTATTAAACACAAAATTCTGAAATATTGCCTGAAAGAGAATGTTGCCACTCGAGGTCCCATACACCTTTTAATCCCAGCACTCTGGAGGCAGAGGCAGGCAGATCTCTGAGTTCAAGGCCAACCTGGTCTACTTAAATGAGTTCCAGGCCACCTGGGGCTACAGGGAGACCAGACTCTGTCTCAAAAAGACCAAAAAAAAAAAAAATTAAAATAATAAAAGTTACTTTTGCAAATTTGCAATGTCGATTTTTCAAAAGACATGTGATTCATGTACCATAAAATTATCTTTGCTTAGAGCTGGGTATGGTGGTGCATGCCTTTAATCCCAGCACTTGGGAGGCAGAGGCAGGCAGATCTCTGTGAGTTCAAGGCCAGCCTGGTCTACATAGTGAGTTCCAGGACAGCTGGGGCTACTGGGAGATCCTGTCTCAAAAAGAGCAATGGGAGAAAAAAAAGAAGAAAACAAATTCTCCTTAAAGTATACAATTTTAAGTTTTAGTAAAAAAAAAAAAAAGCTAATTCTCTCACCCTCAAATGAAAAGCTATTTCCACTGCAGTTACTGTTCTTCTCCCCTTCCCCTAGCTGTTACAAGACATTAAGGCATTTAATCTACTTTCTGTCCCTATGGGTTTGCCTGGTCTGGATATTTCATATAAATAGAATCATACAGAAAGTCTGTGGTCTTTTGTGACTAGTTTCTTTTACTTAGCATAGTGTTTTGCATGTTTGTGTTGTGGCATGTCTCAGTACGTCATTCCTTCTTGTGAACCAGTAATACTTCATCATATGGATGTGCTAGATTTTTGTCCCTGCATCTGTGGAGGGATATTTGGGTTGTTCCTACATTTGATCATTGTGAATAATATTGCCATTCTTTTAAAAATTTAAGTGAGTTCTGGGGTCAAACGTAGGTTGTCAGGCTTGCCTGGCAAGCACCTTTCCCTACTTAGCCCTGTTATTGCTGTTCTTAATGTAGACTCATATGAAAGGTTTCCAAAGTCATGGAAAAACAGTCAGTTGCCAAGTTCGATGGGTTTTTTATGGTAGTATTTTTTTCCCCGTTCATTTTTAGCCTCTTGGAAGTTTAGGATATTTCACAGTTCTGAATGTTAGTAGCTGAAAATGCCTCTAGATGATGAAGCTCTGAAGATGACTCGGATTCAGTTTCCTCAAAGAATGCATATTTTCAAATGACCGAGCATAGCAATTTTTGTATACTACGGAGGATTTTGATCTGGTGGAAACTTTACAAAAACTTCATCTTCTGTAGAATCTGATAGAAAAAATTCTCCCCATCCTCTTGGATTGAGCTTATAGGCTAATAGGTAAGAATGGGATAAATCTATTTTTTTTAATGTGACAACAAACCAGCATAACTTTATTTGCATAACTGACTATCTAAATGTTATGATAGTTGCTGATTTGCTTTTTTTTTTTTTTAATCCAGCTATGATCAGCAACTGTTCAAGGATGGTTGCTGAGTTTCAAACAGTTTTAATCCTGTGTTTTTCATTTCTCTCTGAGAAATGTACTTTTGCAAAAAGATCATTGTGAAAACTTACTTTGCTACATGTTGAATTCCTGCCAACCAGGACTGTATATCAAGACAACTTTCTCAGAAAACCCAAAAAAACCCAAAATTTATTTTGCTAGTTGTACTGTATGCTTTTTTTTTTGGAGGGGGGAGGGAATAAATTATAATCTGTCGTTAAAATTTGGTAGTCCAAGCTGGGCATGGTGGTGCACACCTGTAGTCCCAGCATTTGGGAGGCAGAGGCAGGCAGACCTCTGTGTGTTCAGGCCAGCCTGGTCTACATAGTTCCAGGCCAGCTGGGACTACAGGGAGACCCTGCTTCAAAAAGACAAAAAAAGAAAAAAAAAATCTTGGTAGTCTAAATCTATCTATCAATCTGTCTGTCTGTCTGTCTGTCTATCTAATCTATCCTATCTAATCTATCTAATCTAATCTATCTATATCCCAGACTAGCCTGGGGCTTCATCATAGAGCCAAGGATGACCTTGAACTTCTGATCCTTATGCCTTCACCTCTTGGTCCTTTCAACCTAAATATTATTTCTCCTTTTTTTTTTTTTTTGCGATGCTGAAAATTGAATGTGGGACTTCACACAGGCTAGGCAAGCACTCAACCACTGAACTGTATTCTCAGCCCTACTTCCTTTTTGAGACAGGTTTTTACTCTAGCCCCTGGCTGATCTGGAGCCCACTATGTAGCTCAGGCTAGCCTCATGGTAATCCTTCTGCTTCTCAGTCTTCCTAGGTATGAGCTACCATACTTATTTCTACATTTCACATTAATAGTATAAATAATATTTTATATTGCAGTAATAGCCCACCAATCTGGGAAGTAGTGATTAAGTTGTGTATTAGGAACTATGTAAAAAACAAACTTTGAGTTGACAAAATAGCCAACATAATGCTTTTTTTTTTTTTTTTTTTGAGATAAGGTCACACTACATAGCCCTGGCTATTTGTCTTTTTGAGACAGGGTCTCCCTGTAGCCCCTCCTGGCCTAGAACTCACTATGTAGACCATACTGGCCAGGAACTTACAGCAGTCCTCCTGTCTCTGCCTCCAAAGTGAGGGGATTATATGGATGTGTGCAACCAAACCACATCTGGCTGCATTTTCTTTTTTTGGTCTTTTTTGAGACGGGGTCTTCCAGTAGCCTTAGCTGGCTTGGAACTCACTATGTAGACCAGGCTAGCCTTGAACTCAGAGAGATTCACCTGCCTCTGCCTCCCACGTGCTGGGATTAAAGGCGTGTGCCACCATGCCCAGCTTACATTTTCTTTTTAAACTGTCCCATAGTTGGATGATTACTTACTTGTATGTATGTATGTATGTATTTATTTATTATGGTCCTGGAATTACAACCTAGGTCCACCTACATGCCAAGCAGGTACTGTGACACTGAGTTTATTCTCTAGCCCATTTGATTTGCTGTTTGTTTGTTTGTTTGTTTGTTTTGACACAGGGTCTCCCTGTATCCCCAACTAGCCTAGAACTCACTATGTACACTAGGCTGGCCTGTCTAACAGATCCACCTGCTGCTGCCTCTGCTGAAACTAAAGGCATGCACCACCATGCTTGACCTGTGTGATTTGTTTTTAATCAGAGCTTGTTTACTCTCAATTTACAATAGTTTGAAAGTCTGATAATTTGATTTCTTAAATTTAAAGTAGCTAAGAAACAGCAAAGAGGCAAGGCGTAGCCTATTAGAGCGGCTCCCAGTCACACTAAACAGATACATATGAGAGCAAAAGTAGTTCAGGGCCTACTGTCGAAGGGGCAAGTGGCTTGTAAATATAAAGTATTTGAAGAAATTGTGTATTATAAATAAGTTACTTTAAAAATTGTGCATTATCTGCCCTCTTTGTGAGGAATTTAAAGTAGCTCTAAGATTGGATATCAGAGACAGCATCACTGTAGGGTAAGAATTTTTAGAGGCATAAGAAATGACCCTAAAGAGATGTCTGCTGCAGTATTCTACTGTGCTAGCTGAATGTCTACATGTTTTATTTCCAGTATCATTTGGGGGCCCCTCTGAAGTCCACTTCTAGAAGAAATTCCATTTAGAATGTAGTGTTCGATTTGCCTCAAAGAACCTAAATGTGCCTTTCTCATGAAAATTATGTAATTGGACTTGTCTACCCTTTCTTTATGACTAACAGTTAAATTCATTATATTGAAACTAGATTATTACAAGTATTCAAAGTTTGTAGAGACAACATATATATTTTAGTGTCCTCATTTGTGTGTGTGTGTGTGTGTGTGTGTGTAACAAAGCAGGCCTAGTAAGTAAATAAAAATGACCAGGGACTGCTGGTGTGGCTCAGTTGGTAGAGTGCTTTCCTAGCATTTAGGAAGCTCTGGGCTCTATCTGTAGCACATGAACCAAGCATGGTGGCACATACCTGTAATCCCAGAACTAGGTAGGTAAAGGCAGGAAGACCAGAAGTTCAAGGTCATCCTCACCTGCATAGCAAGTTTGAAACCAGCCTGGGATACCTGAGACCTTATCTGGAAAACAAACAAACAAACAAAAACAAAATAAAAATGACCTTTCAGCAACTAGACATTTTAATATCTTAAAATAGGCTTTTTGTGTTCATAAAACGGATCTGAAGTAAACCCAAGTTTGGAAACGCAGTCTTCTGGAAAGAGTCCAGTGTTATTTCACACATTGCAGTGGTGCAATAAAGCCTGAATATTTGATGCATATTTGCTTGGCAGAACTTCTATTCAAAGATTAGTACAGTGAGTTGGGCATGGTGGCATATGCCTTTAAACCTAGCACTCAGGGAGGTAGAGGCAGGTGGATCTCAGTGAGTTACAGGGCCAGGGAGACCCTGTCTCAAAAAAGACCAAAAAAAAAAAAAAGATTAGTACAATGATAAGCATTAGCTTATCACACCAAATTAGAGGATCTGGTTAACAAGACTTGATTGTAATTCTGGGCAGTGGAGAGAGACTCCTTAGTACACAATGAAGGACTGTTTTTAAAGTGGGCCAAAAGATCCTCTAGAATAATTCAGACAAGCTGGGAAATTTGCTCATTGGTTTGCGCAACATAGTTTCTGCTGGGGCTCTGGCATGTTCCCTCATGCTGGAGAAAGTCCTTCTGTTGTGCTCATAAAGAAGTAAGTGTGTCCTGTCGTCTTCCTGCTCTTTTCCCTTTGTGGACAAACTTGTGATCAGATTTTCAAATGAGGTGCCATTAGAGGGATTAAATGTCAGTGGTTTTGTACTGTTGTGCTAACTCTTGAACTGCTGAATTATTCAACACTTTAGTAGAATGAAGAAAACCATCTGAATTATTTATGTTTCAACAGAAGTAGTCCCCACCTTAGTACAAATGGGGTATCCTCTTTCTTAGGGAAGACCGGACCATCTGTCATTCAAGGTACAGTTGAAGTCCTAACCTCTTTAATGCAAGAGCTACAGAACAGTGGAAAGACTGATTCTGAACTTTGGAAAAACTGTGAGGTACCTCATTTTATTTGGGGAGGTGGGGTTAAAAATAATTCTATTTAAGTGTACCTCTACTGAATTGTTAGAAATTTATGTCCAGAAGAATGTGATAGTCACTTATGGCCAAAGTAAAATGGCCCACTGTATTAACTGGGTGATGACATGAATGAATGTGAGAAAGGCTCATCAAGTTATGTTTTATTTTTATTTTGTGTATGAGTATATTGCCTGCATGTGAGTGCATGAATGAATGTGAGAAAGGGTGATCAAGTTATGTTTTTTTAAATATTTTATTTATTATTTTTATTTTGTGTATGAGTGTATTGCCTTGCATGTATGTGAGTGTACCCGTGCCCTGCAATGCCGCGGAGGTCAGAAGAGGCCCTCAGATTCCCCTGGAACTGGAGTTAAGGACAGTTCATAGCCCCCATGTGGGTGCTGGATATTGAATCCGAGTCCTCTGAAAGAGCAGTCAGTGCTCATAACCACTGAGCCATCTCTCCAGCCCTGATCAAGTTATGTTTTATTTAGCATGTTAGCAGTGAGACATTCATTTGTATATAAATGTGAACTAAAAAGTCTTTGTAGTCAGGTGTGGTGGCGCACGCCTGTAGTCCCAGCACTTGGGAGGCAGTGACAGGCAGATCTATGAGTTCAAGGCTAGCCTGGTCTACATGGTGAGTTCCAGGACAGCTGGGGCTTACAGGGAGACCCTGCTTCAAAAAGACCAAAAAAAAAGAAGAAGTCTTTGTTCAGAGAGCCCTCAAATTGTTAAAACTGTTTAATTACAATATTCTAAGTGACTCCTGGAGTTGTCCTCATTTTGAAAAACCTTGCTGTATTTTGGAATATTTTGAATGTTCTAATCATTAATTACTGCTTGTGTTTAATACCTTAACACATTCCTCTGTGAAAAATTGAGCTCTGTGGTTTTCAGGTCAGTGATTCTTCGTTAAATTGTAATGAAACTAATTTTTATGAAAATATAACAGCTGAGATTCAGCATGTAAGTTGGTGGTGGTGTGTTTACCTTGCATGTGAGAATCCCTAGGTTCTATCCCCAGCGCTGCACTGCACTGCACTGTATACACACACACACACACCCTCACCCTCACCCATACACCCACATCAAGAACAAAAAACTGGTAAAAACACACTATACATTTTTTGGGGGGTCTTTTTGTGACAGGGCCTCCCTGTAGCCCCAGCTGTCCTGGAACTCACTGTGTAGCTCATGCTGGCCTTGAACTTAGAGATCCTTTGCCTCTGCCTCCCTAGTGCTGGGATTAAAGGTGCGTGCCACCATGACAGGCCTGAAAAGGTGTTTTTTGCAGTTGTGGTTGAAGGCAGTAGAAATGAGGAAACAAACTTGGGACTAATGGCATGTGCCATTATGCCAGGCCCAACGCATACTTTTTTTTTTTTTTTAATGTGTATGAGTGTTATGCCTGCATGTAAGTAAGTGCACCTGTATTGTGCAATGCCCGAGGAGGACAAAAGAGGCTTTGGATCCCCTGGAACTGGAGTTATGGAGAGTTGTTAGCTGCCATGTGGGTACTGGGATTCAAACCTGGATCTTCTGCAAGAACAGAGTTCTTAACTGCTGAGCCATCTGTCTAGCCCACATTTAAAAAAAAATTTTATTTCTCTTTTTTTTAATGTGTATGCATGTATTGCCTGCATGTAGGTAAGTGCACCTGTGTCCACTAATGCCCGTGGAGGTCAGAAGAGGCTGTCAGATCCCCTGGGGCTGGAATTACAGACAGTTGTCAGCTGCTATGTGGGTGCTGGGATTCAAACCGGGTCTTCTGCAGGAACAACCAGTGTTCTTAACTGCTGAGCCATCTCTCCAGCCCCGAAGCCCACATTTTTTTTAATAGAATACTCAAGGTGAACTTTTCTGTTTTCAGAATGGGTTAGAGGTCGTAAGGTTTTATAGAAATGTAAAAATAATTATTAAACTCAGATTTTGCTTTGAACATTAATTTTACTTTTAGAATCATAAATTATGCTATTTTTAAGAATATAGAAGAAGTGGAATGAAAGATTCCTTGTGTAAGAATTCAGTAGCGGACTGGAGAGGTTTTTTTTTTTTTTCTTTTCGAGACAGGGTCTCTCTGTAGCCCCAGCTGTCCTGGAACTCACTATGTAGACCAGGCTGGCCTTGAACTCAGAGATCAGCCTGCCTCTGCCTCCCAAGTGCTAGGATTAAAGGCGTGCACCACCATACCCGGCTGTGAAAATTATTTTTAATCAAGGTATTTTATAATTTAATAGACCAGATGGTTACAGTTGTTCAATTTGGTGGAAAAACCAAAGAGCAGATAGTTGCCCAGCAGGAGCAGTTCCACAACCAAATTCAGGTAAGTTGACAATACTTTGATACTTTATATTTGTTAGATTTGCAGAAAAACCAATTTAGGTATTTTGTTCATGAGGATAAACCATCATATTTAGAGCAATATGTTTTTTAAAAAATATTTTATTATTTTCATTTTATGTGTATGTGTGTATTGCCTGCATGTAGGTACATGCTCCCATGTCGTGCACTGCCTGTGGAGGTTAGAAGAGGCCTTTGGATACCCCAGAACTGGATCCCCTGGGTCTGGAGTTACAGACAGTTGTTAGCTGCCATGTGAGTGCTGGGATTTGAACCTGGGTATTCTGCAAGAACAGCCAGAGTTCTTGGCCACTGAGCCATCTCTCCAGCCCCCTAGAGCAATATATTTTTTTTTGTTTTTTTTTAAAATTTTATTTATTATTTTTATGTTGTATGTAGGTAAGTGTACCCGTGTCGTGCAGTGCCTGTGGAGATCAGAAGAGGCTGTCAGATCCCCTGGGACTGGAGTTTCGGACAGTTGTCAGCTGCCATGTGGGTGCTGGGATTCGAACCCGGGTCTTCTGCAAGAATAGTCAGTGTTCTTAACTGCTGATCCATCTCTCCAGCCCAGCAATATGTTTTAAGACATGAAATTTTCATAACATTTATAAAAATGTTTAATATATTTCCTTATCCAAATCTATAACTTTTCCTTCCCAGTGTATACAGGAGGAGATAAGAAATTTAGTCAAATTACAGATCAGTAATGCTTCCTGGGCTTCCTACAATAGACATTCTTTGAGCAAACAAGTATCCTCAGATAGTCAAATAGTCTTTTTTTCTGAAAAAAGTGAGAGAAATGAATTTATTATTAGTTATCCAGAGTCTGAGGAACCAGAGACACAGCCAGAAACATCCACATCCCGAGAGGACTGCAATGTGGACAACACCTCAGTGAGCAGCGACTATGGCACCTTCTGTGTCTTGGAATTGAACACCTTCAAGGCTAAAGACCACACAGAGCTCATGGAGTACATGGCTCCTTCCCAGGGGCAGCAGGTGGTACCTGCAGTGAGGGCAGACTCCCCTACAGGTGGCGGAGGAACCAGGAGTTTTTTCACACAGACCCCTGAAGAGTTTTGTGCATCTCTAAAGGAAGAAGTTTCTACTTTTTCTGGTGAATTTGAACATAATTTTCTTGATGAAAATAAAATTTCTGAAGTATACAGTGGAAAAGCAAATAGGTAAGTAGGGTTTCAGTATCATTTGAAGAGAGTTTTACTCACTTAATTACATTTAGAATGTAGTAAAGTTCTTTTTAGTTGGTCTACAGTAGAGATAAATTTGGAAATGTATCAGTTTTACTATTAAAATGAGTCTCTTGCTGAACATGGTGGTGCACACTTGTATTCCCAGCACTTAGGAGGCAGAAGCAGGTGAATCTCTGTGAGTTTGAAGCCAGCCTAGTCTATATTGCGGGTTCTTTACCAGCCTGGGCTGCATACTGAGACCCTGTTTAATAAAAACCAAAAAATAAAATGAGTCTCTTATTTGTTGCATATGGAAAACTGAAACAAACAAAGCACTGTATACTGATGATATCTGAGTTTTTTTTTCCTGTGTAGTGTTTTTTTGTTTGTTTGTTTTGTTTTTTTGTCTTTTTGAGACAGGGTCTCCCTGTAGCCCCAGCTGTCCTGGAACTCGCCATGTAGACCAGGCTGGCCTTGAACTCACAGAGATCCGCCTGCCTCTGCCTCCCAAGTGCTGGGACTACAGGCGTGTGCCACCACACCTGGCTTCAGCCTTTTTCTTTACTTTGCCTTTGGTAATAAGAAATTAGAAAAAGAGGGGCTGTAGAAATGACTCAGCACTTGGCTTTTCTTGCTGAGGACCCAGGTTCAGTTCCCAGCACCCTCATGGCAGCTAACAATCTGCCATAACTCCAATTCCAGGGTATCTGATGCCCTCTTCTGGCCTCTGAGGGTACTGTGCACACATGGTACACAAGTACATGTATATATACTCATATACATAAAATACAAATGAAAATTTAAAACAAAACAAAAGAAATCACAAGAGGAAATGTAGGAGGATCATGGGTGGTGAGATGACTAAGTGGGTAAAGGGCTTGCTGTGTAAGGCCATGACCTGAGTTTGATCCCTGGAACCTGTGGCAGAAGGAGAGATCTGACTTTCTAATTTTCCTCTGACCTACACATGAGTGTCTCACACACATCATGCATGCATGCTGAGTGCATGCTCCATTCATGCAAGCACACATGAGCACATACAAATGAATAGTTAAATAAATAATAAATTATAATTATAAATAGTAAATAATAATTAAAAGGAAATTTTACTAGTGGCAAAACGAAGCACTTTTACTGAAGCATTGTCTACTATGCTTTTATAGGTGAAAGTCAGCATATAAAGAGAGTAACTTTGTTTTTTTCCCCCTTATTTTAAGTAGTACGTCTATAACATCCTGGGCACAAAAGCTGAAGCAGAACCAGCCGAAGAAAGCACATATAGAAGATGGCTGCTCAGGACCTAAGCTGGGGAGTGAGTTAAGCAAGAAGCCTCCAGCTGAAACCGTAGGTGATAGTTGCATTGAATGACCACACTGAGTGTGCTATGCAGTTGCCAATATTCTTGCTTATTTGTCATTTACAAATCTTTTGGTGTCTCAGAATCGAATATGATTTACTATAAATACATAATTACAGCTTCTTTTTTGTGGGAGAGGGAATATTTTTGAGACAGAGTCTCCCTGTAGCCCCAGCTGGCCTGAACTCACCATGTAGACTAAGCTGACCTCAGACTCACAGAGATCCACCTGCCTTTGCCTCCTGAGTGCTGGGATTAAAGGCATGAGCCACCATGCACCACGCCTGGCTATTACAACTTTTTTTTTTTTTTTTGGTCTTTGAGACAGGGTCACTGGCCTGGAACTTGCTTTGTAGACCAGGCTGACCTTGAACTCACAAAGATCTGAAGGCCTCTGCTCCCCAAGTGCTGGGATTAAAGGCATGTGCCACCACACCTGGCACTATTACTGCTTTAGTAGGCAGGAAATCAGAGCTAATAAGGGACAGAATACTACAAAAATGAAGAATTTGTAGAGCTCCTATTCTCTTTGTATTTAATGTTTATGTTTATCAGGAGAGTGAGTCATAAAAATAATAAATTAAAATTTGTGTTACTATTGGTTGTAACAAGTAATACTTTCTATGTTGAGCACTTTAAAATAACTTTATTTAGTTTTTCATTTATTTTATGTGTATAATTGTTTTGCCTGCATGTATATAAGTGTACTACATGCTGTGCAGTGTCCATGGCCAGAGGGGGTGTCGGATTCTTTCGAACTGGAGTTCCAGGCAGTTGTTAGCTGCTGGTGGGTGCTGGGAAACAAACCCTTGTCCTCCACAAGAACACCCAGTGCTCTTAACCACTGAGTCATCCCTTCAGCCCCCTAAAATGCCTGCATTAGCCTTTAATCTCAGCACTTGGTAGGCAAAGGCAGGCGAAAGGCTGTGAGTTCCAGGCCTCCAGAGCTAGATAGTGAGATCCTGTCTCAAAAACCTAAACAGCTGGTCATGGTGCCACACTCCTTTAATCCTGGCACTCAGGAGGCAGAGGGAGGCAGATCTCTGTGAAATCAAGGCCAGCCTGGTCTACACAGGGAGTTCCAGACCAACTGTGGCTACAGGGAGACTGTCTCAAAAACAAACAAACAAAAAACCCAAACCAAACTACAAAAACCTTTATTAAAGATGTTGGAGTTTGGACAATTCTAAATTTATAATTCAAATTTTAAATTAGTTATGAGATGCTGGAGGTGGTGGAGCACACCTTTAATCCCAGCACTCTGGACGCAGAGGCAGGTGGATCTCTGTGAGATAGAGGTCAGTGTGGTTTACATGGTAGGTTCTGGGCCAGTAGGGTTATAGGAGAGCCTATCTAAAAAAATTGTTAATAAGTTAATTTTTTTTCTTCTGGGTTTGTTATATAGCCCAGGCTGGCCTGGAATTCGAAATCTTACTGCCTCATAGTCCTGAGTAGCTGGGATCACAAGTGTATTCCACCATGCTCCTCAAGATTAAATGTTTTAATTTTGTGTGGACTCTTTGCTGACCTAGGAACTCCATTCATTAAAGGGTTATAGACATGAAGTTTCAGCACATGTGTATTGCTTTCATTGGCCTAAACTGTAATGAAATAGTATTAATACATGGAGGTTGCAAATACAGGTATGGAAACAAACTGCAAGGCTCCATACTCTTAGAAATTGGCTATGTCTTGAATATTCTGAATAAAATTTTTCCATTGTCAGAGAAAAAGGTCAAATAAATGCCATAAGAAGATAGTCCCTGAGTCTATAAAACTTTTTTCATTGATTGATTTATGTATTTATTGTGGGTGTGGGTGTACATAACATGGCCGTGTGTAGAGGGTAGAGGACAGCTTATAAGAGTCAGTTCTCCCCTTCCATACTGTGGGCTCTGGGGCTCAAACTCAGGCTTTGTGGCTTGGTAGCAAGCACCTTTGCACTCTGAACCACCTCATTTGCCCTGTCTCTCAGTTTTTTTTATAGGAACTGCCCATTTCTCTTTTCTTTCAGCATTTTTTATCTCCTTTATTGTTTCTTTAAAAATTTTTTCTTTATTTTATGTATGAGTGTTTTCCTGGCATGGATGTAAGTGCACCGCTGTTGTGCAATGCCCTAAGAGGCCAGAAGAGAGCATTGAATCCCCTCTAACTGGATAGATAGCCACCATGTGGGTGCTAGGAACTGAACTTGGGTCTTCAAGAGCAGTCAGTGCTCTTAACTGCTTAGCCATCTCTTCAGCTCCTATTTTATATTTTGATATTTTTTTGTTTTATGTGTATGAGTGTTTTGCCTGCATGTACTTTTTTTTTTTTTGTTGAGACAGGGTTTCAGTGTAGCCCCAACTGGTCTGAAATTCACTATGTAGACCATTCCAGGCTGGCCTTAGTCTCACAGAGATCTGCCTGCCTCTGCCTCTCAAGTGCTGGGATTAAAGGAGTACTCCACCACACCTGGTACCTATACTTTAAAAAAATTTACACTTAATGTGCTCTCTGCCACTACATCCCCCAACCCTGAGATTTTGCCACTTTTGATCATGGTAGAGTCAGTGGATTCTTGTAGTCTTCTGTGGTTGTGACTCAGTTTATTTTTGATGTGCCCCAGTGTTCCCCAACTTTGCTGCACATTGGAATCACTTGAGGATATTTAATAATGTGCTTATCCTGGCTGCCAATCCCAGATATTCTGACTGCTGGAGGGGGTGACCTGCCTGAGTGGAGCTTTATTTATGTATGCTGTAAGTGTGAGGGGTTCTAAAAACTCCTTACGTGAAATTTTTTTTTCTTTTTGAGACAGTGTCTCTCTGTAGCCCCAGCTGTCCTGGAATTCACTATGTAGACCAGGCTGGCCTTAAACTCACAGAGATCCACCTGCCTCTGCCTCCTGAGTGCTGGGATTAAAGACGTGCGCCACCATGCCTGGCTTATTTTTATTTTAATGTGTATGTGTGTATTGCCTGCATGTAGGTAAGTGCACCCATGTTGTGCAATGCCTGCGGAGGACAGAAGAGGCCATCAGATCCCCTGGAACTGGAGTTACAGACAGTTGTTAGCTGCCATGTGGGTGCTGGGATTCGAACCTGGGTCTTCTGCAAGAACAGCCAGTGGTCTTAACCACTGAGCCATCTCTCCAGTCCCCTTATTAGGTCTTCTCTAACCCCAGAACTTGGTTCTTTTATTTATTTATTTATTATTTATTTATTTATTTAGTCTTCTCTAACCCAAGAACTTGGTTCTTCTATTTATTTATTTATTCATTCATTCATTTTCATGTGTGTGCATGTGTTTGTGTGTGTATGTATTGGCTTTAGGAATTGTTCTTCCCTTCCACCTTGTTTTTGAAGCAGGACTCTCTTGTTTCTGATGAGATGTGTACTCCAGATTAGCTGGCCCCTGAACTTCTGAGCAGTTCTGTCTCCACCTCCCATCTTGATATAGGAATGCTGAGATTACAGGTGTGTTCCACTGCATCCAGTTTTTTTTACATGGTCTCTATTTTTGTTTTACTGAGACAGAGTCTCATGTAGCCTAGTCAGGCATGGAACTTAATATGTAGCTTCTATTAATAACCTGACACTCAAAATTGTCAATTTATTTAAAAATTTTCAAAGATTTTTTTCCTAAGGTGCTGCTCTTGATACCAGATTTTTTTCATTGTTGATAATACCATTTAAGTGATTTTGTTTCATATCCGTAAGTTTAATACTAGTAATGAGATGAAGCTATCATCACTGAAGGATATTTATCATAAAAAACAAAGGGAAAACAAGCAATTACCTGAGAGGAATCTCATTTTTGCTTCCAACCCTAATCATCTGCCAGAGGTAAAGTTGCTGCCTTCTGTTGCATACAAGTGAAACGTGTCCCTGGCTAACTGTTCTCTAGCCTCATCTCCCTTAGGAGCACTAAAGCCCTTTTACTGGAAAGCAAGCAAGTCAGTCTGAGTGTCAGGGGCAAAATCTTACAGCTGTCCAATCTATTTCTAGGTCCTGACTCTTCATCCGACGGTTCACATGAAGCCAACCCCACAGATTTCAGGGATTCAGCCACATGGCTTTTTGAATACTCTTGATTACAGAATAAACTTTTCACCAGGCTCTGTTCTGGAACCAAGTATGTCCAGTCATTCTGACATTGATTCATTTTCACAAGCAAGTAATAATGCTTTTCAGTTATCTGGGTTCCCAAAATATCCTTCACATAAGAAAGCTTCGCCAGTGGACACTTGGAAAAACCATGCCTTCCAGAGTGAAAGTAGGACCAGTTCCACGTTTCCTTCAGTATATACAGCCACTAGTAATGATACCTCAGTCAAAACTGTAGATGAAGAAAACACTCTCAAGGTGGCTTCAGCCTCGGTCAGTCAGTCCCAGCTTCCAGGTACAGCCAACAGTGTCCCAGAATGCATTTCATTGGCTTCCCTGGAAGATCCTGTGATGTTATCTAAGTATGTATTTTGGTAATTGGTTTATAATGTTAATAGACTTTTGTGATGTCTGATTGAATGATAAAAATGATTTTTATTGAACCTCAGTAATATATTAAGTCCTAAAGAACTACAGAATTTTAAACTTTTTAAAACATTTTATTTATTATTTTAATTTTATGTGTATGCATGTATTGCTTGCATGTAGGTAAGTGTACCCGTGTTATACAATGCCGGTGGAGGTCAGAAGAGGCTGTCGGATCCCCTGGGACTGGAGTTACGGACAGTTAGCTGCCATGTTGGTGCTGGGATTCAAACCCGGATCTTCTGCAAGAACAATCTGTAGAACTACAGAATTTTAGAACACCTGAAAAACTAATGTGTGCCTTTTTCACTTATGGCCACTCACTTTTTGTTGAGGTGAAAGATGAGATGTTGACAAAAGGGATCCAGTAAATGGTAGCTACTCTGAATGCTTTTATGTCCAGAAAATACTAGAGTACATGGAGTGTCTATTGTATTTTCCAGGGGTATACAGAGGAAACAGGCTATATTTTGGCTTTGAGAATGACTGTGTGTATCACTTTTCTCATCCATGTGACCAAATACTTGGCAAAAGCCTCTTAAGGAAGGAAGGGTTTATTTAAGAGGGGATGCTGTCCATCATGGTGAGAAGGCATGGTGGTGGAGATGAGGCACCTGGTCACATTGCATCTACAGCCAGGAACCAAAGGGAGATGAATGCTGGTTTTTAGTTTGTTTTATCCTGTTTTTTCTTTTTATTTAGTCCAGGACCCTAGCCCATAGAGTGATACCTACCATATTCAGGGTGGGTCTTCCTTTCTTGGTTAAACCTCTGTGGAAACACCCTAACAGACACACTAAAAAGTGTGTGTCCTTGGTGACTGTACATCTTATCCAGTTGACAAGAAAGATTACCCTTTACAAGTCTACCCTTTGTCAGTGTGACCCTGAAACACACCACTTAGAATCCTAAGACTGTATTCGTGGTTTCTCTTATGGGCTAGAAGATGTGCTGTCCTAATAGCTCTATCCCCTTACCAACAGAATCAGGCAGAACCTCAAGGAAAAGCATGCTCGACATATAGCGGATCTTCGAGCTTATTATGAATCAGAAATAAATAGCTTGAAACAGAAACTAGAAGCAAAAGAAATTTCTGCTGTTGAAGAGTGGAAGAAGAAAAATCAAATTCTTGTAGACAGGTAAAACTACTGTGAAGCTAGTGTTTCCTCAACTTGGATGTATTTCTTCCACAAAGGTATAATATACGTGGTATAAAACACCTTGAAAATGTGTACTTTGCATTTGAAATTTCTTTCTTTCTTTCTTTCTTTCTTTCTTTCTTTCTTTCTTTCTTTTTTTTTTGGTCTTTTTGAGACAGGGTCTCCCTGTAGCTGTAGCTGGCCTAGAACTCACTATGCAGACCAGGTTGGCTTTGAACTCACAGAGATCTGCCTGCCTCTGCCTCCCGAGTGCTGGTCTGCCTCCCAAGTGCTGGGACTACAGGCATGTGCCACCACGCCCGGCTTGCATTTGAAATTTTAATACAAAGATGTGTAAACTAGTATATATCTACACTAGAGCCATAAAATTAGTATTTTTAAATTTTAATTAACTTCATCCAATACTAATAATTGGCACAAAACCATGTGTTTTCTATGGATAAAATTTTGAAGCAAGTAGACTTAGCATATATAGAGTAAAACTGCAAGATAATTAATATCATGGCATCCCAGAAAAAAAAAAGTGTTCTGGGACTTGGGCTGGTGTGATAGCTCAGTAGATAAAGGTGCTTGCTGCAAAGCCTGCTGATTTGAGTTTGATCCCTGGGACCACCATGGTGGAAGAAGAGAACTGACTTCTAAATAGTTGTCCTCTGAACTCCATAAACACACTGCAGCATACATACAAACATGAACTAAATAAAATAAGTTTAAAATAAATAAGTGAAGGGGCTGGAGAGATGGCTTAGTGGTTAAGAACATTTACTGCTCTTGCAAAGGACCCAGGTTCAATTCCTACCACCCACATGGCAGCTACGAACTATCCTTAACTCCAGCTCCAGGGGAATCCGACACCCTCTTCTTACCTCTGCAGCATTGCACGACATGGGTGCACTCACATACATGCAGGCAATATACTCATACACATAAAATAAAAATAAGTAAGTGGAACAAAAAAAAATTACGGGACTTTGGGGCCTGGGAGTATAAGTCATTGGTAGAGCATTGGCCTAGCATGCATGAGGCTTTGGGTTTGATCCCTAGCACTATGGATAAAAAAGAAAAAGCAAATCAGGCATGGTAGAGTACACCTTTAATGCCCGCACTTGGGAGGCAGAGGCAGGGGGATCTCTATGAGTCTAAGACCAACCAGAGTTGTATATGATCCTGTTAAGAAAATAATAAAGAAAAAAAAAAAAACCCAGAATTCTAGAGGGTTGGAGAGATAGCTCAGTGGTGAAGCATACATACTGTTCTTCAGGGGACCTGAGTTCAGTTCCCAGTACCCATATAAGGTGGCTTACAAATGCCTAAAACTCTAGCTCCAGGGAATCTGATGTCTCACCTGCACTCATGTACACACGTCACACATGGACATATAGTTAAAAATCAATATTCAAGGGAGCTAGAGAGATGGTCCAGCAGTTAAGAGCACTGACTGCTCTTACATAGGACCCGGGTTCGATTCCCAGCACCCACATGGTGGCTCTGAACCATCCTTAACTCCAGTTCCAAGGAAATCTGAACCCCTCTTCTGACCTTTGCGGCATTGCACGACACAGGTGCACTCACATGCAGGCAATACACTCATACACATAAAATAAAAATAATAAATACAATATTTTAAAAAATAAATATTCAAAAAGAAAGAATTCTACATTTGTGTGTGGCAGTTTTTTTTTATGCCTTTGTCATGAATAACTTTAAAATAGTATTGGACAGAGAGCCAGATTTAGGTTTTGTTGTTATTTTGTTTTGTTTTTTAGCTTTTTGAGACAAGGTCTCAAGTACCAGGGTGACTTGGAGCATCCCTATGTAGCCAATGATGACTTTGAATTTCTGATTCTCCTACTTCCACCTCCCAGATGCTAGGATTACAGGTGTGTACTACCATGTACTGCCCAGGGTTAGTTTTTTAGGACAAAAGAAAAGAGAAATAACAAGTTAGGTGAAGCATGTATTTGCTTGTTTTAAGAAGGTAGAGATGATGCCAGGTATGGTGACGCATGCCTTGAATTGTAGCACTTGGGAGGCAGATCTCTGTGAGTTGGAGATCAGCCTTGTCTACAGGGTGAGTTCCAGGCCAGCTGGGGAGACCCTGTCTCAAAAAGACCAAAAAAAAAAAAAAAAAGTAGAGATGAGCAGCACTCTGCAGTAGGAGACAGAAGTGTAAACTGGAGGTTAAAGACAGTGCTGATAAAGGTGCTGGTAAGCACTTGCTCTTTGGAATGGTCTTATGTAGGTAGGACTCTAGAACATGGAAAGCAGATCCATGGTGGGTGTAGGTAAACAGGTTGGAAGCCATGGCTTTAAGTTGCTGTTTCACAATAGTTACTGACTAGGAGTAAATTTATCAATGTCATACAGTTATATCATTTCCTCCTACTTGCTAAGAAGGATTTGATCTGGCTTATGGTATAAAGCTATGTGCTGAGGAGGACAGTAGAAACAAAGCATGAAGCTGCAGCCATTTAGGACTGGAGAAAGGTTCCTCTAAGGTGGCAGGGCAGTGTTAGCAGTGCACACCACTTTATTTTTCAAACTTAAAGTTACAAATTGGAGAATTCCACTGGTAGTACAAATGGGGCCATTGTCACTTAATACCGGATCATTATGTCACAAAATTACAACTCTGGAGACAGTGATCTCTGTTGTATCAAAAGCAGTATGAGCTTATACTTGACTGTTAATGAGCTTATACTTGACTGAATGCTCTTCCAGTAGCAGGGAGTGTAGCTCAGTGTTGGAGCACCTGTCTAGCGTGTGGGAGGCATATGGTAATGAGAGAGGAAGAAGGGAATAACATAGACTGGACTAGGGCGAGCAATCTTAATAATATTTCTTTTATATTTAATTATTTATTGTTTGTGTGTTTCATGCATATCAATATATGTGGGGGTCAGAGAACAACTTTTGGAAATCAGTTCTCTTCTACCATGTGAGTTCCTAGGATTGAAGTCAGGTCAACAGTCTTGGTGACAAGTCCTTTACCTGCTAAGCCATCTTGCTGACACCTTATTACTGTTTTATTTCTGAGGAGTTAATATATAGTGTTTCCAAGCATCTGGGAACTCTAAAGATGGACTGGCTTAGAATCCCAGTTAAGGGCCTAGGAATGTAGCTCAGTAAGTAGTAGTGTGTACACTTTGCATGCTGGGATTCCATCCTTAGCACCACAAACAAACAAAAAAATGCCTTGTGAGACTGCTTATCTCCTATAGTACTTAACTCCCCTGGCTCCATTCCTCAACTGCAAATTCACAAGATTGTGAGGCTAATCAGTGGGTCACAAAATAAAACAAAAAAGTATGAATATGGAAAGGGGACCTGTGGAGAGGAGGAGATAATAGGGAGGAGAGGTAAAGGGGTAGTAGGGGCATGGGGGATTGGGGAGTAGGAAGGTTATAGGTGAGGGGGTAGGAGGGAGACAACAGAGGGTGAGGGATGAGAATAAACAAAGCACCATATACATTTATGAAATTGCCAAAGAACATATTTTATCAACACAAAGATTAGGCTAGAGGGGCTGGAAAGATGGCAATTAAGAGTACTGGCTGTTCTTGCAGAGGAGCCAGTTTCAGTTCCTAGTGCTCACATGGCAACTAACAACTGTCTGCATCTCCAGTTCCAGGGAATATAGTACCCTCTTCTGACCTCTGTGGGCATTGCACAACATGGGTGCACTTACATATATGTAGGTAATACACTCCTACACATAAAATAATAAAAACAAAATATTTTTTAAAAACTAGGCTAGAGAGATGGCAACCATTAAGAATGTACATTGGCTAGGCATGGTGGCGCACGCCTTTAATCCCAGCACTCGGGAGGCAGAGGCAGATGGATCTCTGAGTTCAAGGCCAGCCTGGTCTATATAGTGAGTTCCAGGACAGCTGGTGCTACAGGGAGACCTTGTCTCAAAAAGACCAAAAAAAAAATAGCAATAGAGGCTGGAGAGATGGCTCAGTAGTTAAGAGCACTGACTGCTCTTGCAGAGGACCTGGGTTCAAATCCCAGCAGAGACCTTGTCTCAAAAAGACCAAAAAAAAAAAAAAAAGAATGTGCACTGAAGGGGCTGGAGAGATCGACCCAGGTTCGATTCCCAGCACCCACATGGCAACATGGCAGCTAAACAACTGTCTGTAACTCCAGTTCCAGGGGATCTGATGGCCTCTTCTGTCCTCCGCAGGCATTGCACTTACCTACATGCAGGCAATACATGGATACACATAAAATAAAAATAATAAATAGTTAAAAAAATGTACACTGCTTTTGCAGAGGACCCAAGGTCAGTTCCCAGCTCCAATGTCAGGTGGCTCACATCTGCCTGTAAGTCCTGCTCCAGCGAATCAGATACCCTCTTCTAGACTCTGAGGTCACCTGCACACACATGTGTATGTAGCCACTTACATATACATACATACACACATAATTAAAAAATATTTTTTAATTAAAAAATATTTTACTTATTATTTATGTGTATGAGTGTATTGCCTGCATACTTGTAAATGTACCCATGTCGTTCAATGCCCGTGGAGGTCAAAAGAGGATGTCGGATCCCCTGGAACTGGAGTTACGGACAGTTGTTAGCTGCCATGTGGGTTCTTGGAATCGAACTCAGGCACTCTGTAGGAGAAGCCAGTGCCCTTAACCACTGAACCATCTCTCCAGCCCCCCAAAATGTTTTTTAATCTTAAAAAAAAAGATTGTGCAAGACATGACTGCATACATCTTTATTCCCAGCACTGGAGAGATAGAGGCAGTCTCTGAGTTTGAGGCCATCCTAGTTTGTCATAGTAAGTTCCGGGCCAGCCAGTACTACCTAGTGAAACCTTGTCTCAAAAAAAAAAAAAAAGTTTGTGGTTAATTGTAAAGTACTTAACTTGTTATTTATAGTTTATTTTTTAAACACTGAGTCAAAATGGTTTCTGACTTTGTGTACTCTAGCTGGCCTCAGAGAGATCTGCCTGCTTCTGCCTGTGTCAAAAAACAAAAAACAATGGGTTGGTGAGATGGTTCAGTGGGTAAAGGCTCTTACTGCCAATCCTGAAGATCTGAGTTGGATCCCTGGGACCCATGTGGTAGAAGGAGAGAACTAACTCTAACAAGTTGTCTTCTGACCTCTACATGTGTGCTATGGCATGCATACTTCCACTCACATACATACATGCACATACACAAATAAGAAAATGTAAAATAAATAACAAACACTGAAACAACTCAAATTCTACAGTCATTACTCCTCATTTCCCTCTTTCCCCAGCCCTTGGCAACCATTGTTTTACTTTCTCTCTCTGAATTTGAACACTTTTACAAGTGGAATCACACAGTATTTACATTT